CCCCCCCAGGCCCAGCTGCAGCCCACCTTCGATCAGGAAGGAGCGGATCTGCTTCTCCTTCTCCTCCAGGTTGAAGCGGACGGCGCTGAGCGGAAGCTCCCCCTGGGGTGGGGCAGCAAGGGAGGGTGGGGCCTTTGTCTGGGGAACCCCTGGGGCTCTGCCTGGGCCCATCTCTCCTCTCACCCTCCAGAGATGGGGACGCCAGGCAGGGCGAGGCAGGGCCAAGGCCAACAGCCCTCAGGGAGCCAGGTGCTCCCCACTGGCCCCAAGGCATCTTCATCATCACCCCTGGCCTCTGGGTGGGGCCTTCATGAACAGACGGATGCTTACGGGGACGGGTCCCCTCCATCACCGCTAAGACCGGGAGGGCATGTTGGGGGGACTGAAGCCCCCATGTGCGTTTCTCAGCAACTGAAAACTATGATCACCCTCAGGTGATGCTGATGGTGACTGAGGACCCTCCAGGAAGATACAGGTGCCCAGGCAGGGCTCCTTTTGCCCACATCAGAGCTGAGATCAGACTGACCAGGGCAGCAGGCTGGGTGGGTGGGGCCAGTATGCTCTGTCCCAACCGGCCCTGAAATACAGGTTCCTCCTGAGCTGCCGCCCCCTCCCACCCCTACGCACAGGGCACCTCCCTGGGGCAGGTCACAGTGGAGAGGACCCACCTTAAAACACAGCCCGTCAGCTTCCTCAGAGAAAATGGCCAGGGAAGTCGGGTACAGGACTAGGATCCGGTCCCACCGCTCCTGTCAGGTGGTCAATGGGCAGAGAGGGGTCTCCACTGGCATGCAGCAAAGGCCTGGCCCCACCTGCTGCTTCCACCCCCCCCTTACCCCTCACCCCATGTCCCCCACACACCTGTGATGGCAGGTGCTGCAGCTTGACCCTCGAGGCACAGATGGCACTGCCCACCACTTGGCGCCCCCACGCCGTCCGCAGCTGGGTCAGCCTGTGCTGCAGACTCCAGGGGAGCTCATCCTCAGGCGGGTCCTGGGAAAGGGGGGTCAGGGCAGGCAGGCAGGGGGGCTTGGGAAGGGGCGTGGGGTTCCCGGCACTGACCAGTGGGGGTGCCGAGTGGCAGCGCTGCAGCCCTCCCACGAGGGCCATCTGCTTTTCTAGGTGGTAGATCCAGCGGCTTAGCTCGGCCTGGCTGGGGCAGAGCACCAGAAGGGGGGCAGGCAATGGGCCTGTGGGCGGAGGAGCAGAGTGGGCTGGGTTAACAGCCTACAGGAGAGGCCCCTCCCCAGGTCCCCACGCAGACCCCAGGGCTGCAGTTGGGAGGACCCGCTGCACTCCCCCCAGCCAGGCACATGGCCATGTGCCTGTTGGAGGAAAAGTCAGGACCCCTCAATGCACTCAGGGCACTTCCAGTGTCTTTGGGCCCGGCCAAGGCCAAGGTCACTGAGCAGCCCTAGCCCTCTCGCCCTCCCTGGGGCTGGGACTGCTCATGCCCCCCCCCACACACACACCTATGATCTGGAAGGCATGCTCCCTGGACCCCTCCATTGGGCAGATGCTCAGCTCCATCAGCGGTAGCAGCCCCTGCCAGAGCACAGTGGGATGGGAGGGCTAGAGGGTCCTTAGGGGCAGTGGCCACCACCTCTCAAGGGGCTTTCTCCTTGGCCCCCTAGCCTTCTCCCTCCGCCCACTTCCTCACCTGGAAAGTGAGTCCCTCAGAACCGTGGGCCTGGAAGTAGAGGTGGGAAGGGAATAGCTCCAGGTAGCAGTCGCTGACATCCTGGGGGGAGCAGGGCCGCCATCTGAGCACTGTGGGACAGGCCCAGGCTGGGCCCCAAGCACCCACCCGGCCTGGTCCCCACCTGGCTGTGCTGGAATCTCAGTTGGACCTTGGCGTAGTGCACAACCTTGCCCAGATTCCTCACGGGCACCCTGCGCCTCCCTTTCTTGAAAACACTCAGGAACGGCTGGTCCAGGTGTTCTCGCTGGCTCTCCAGGCCCGGGAGGTCCTGTGGGGAGTAGAGCTCAGGGGAGGGGGCCTGAGCCCCAGCACTCACACTGACACGCACACACACACACACGCGCACACACGGCCTCACTGTGAATCATGGACTCTCCCTGTCCAGCACTGGAGACAGTGATGCTTGGATTCAAAGGAGATTCCTAAGCTGTGTACCCTTGTTTTGGTTTCTCAGCCCCCTAAGTCTGGTGGGTCACAGGATTTTGAGTGTCTGAGTGAGGCAATGCTTAAAACCCTCCATATTTCCAATGCTGGCTGGTAAATGTTTAATCTGGTTCTATAAAAGGGGGGCAGTGACTGATTTATAGTATTTGGCAGTCCCTCTACAGTCCTTTTCAAGCGTCACATCTGTAGGCTGGGAAGAAAGCAGGTGCCCCTGATCCCCTGATGTCACTTAGTGGAGACCAGGCAACAGCCAAGGGGTCCTCTGTGACCTGTCCCCACTCCCTTCTGGTTCCCTCACATCAGGCAGGTGTCCAGCTCAGGGCCTTCGAGTCTGCTGTTCCCTCTGCCTGGGCCAGTCTTCTCACCTCCTTCGAGGAGTGGCTCACTTCATCTCCTCTGTGACACCCCGTCTGGTGCCCTCCAACATCCCAACCTTCCCTGACTCCTCTGCATACCTTAGTGCCAACCACATCTTACTCATAACACCTTTTGCTCGTCATCTGGCCCTGTGTCACGGATGGAAACGCCGTGAGAACAGGGCATTTGTCTGTTTTGCCCACTGCAGTATCATCGGCGCCAGGACAGGTCTGGGATATGTTGGGGGTTCAGTGCCTGCCTGCTGGTGCCCACAGCAGCCAACTCTGGGACACAGAGAGGCCTCCAAAAACAAGGGCTTGAGCATCAGGCTGGGAGTCAGACAAGGCTGGTGCTGGAGGGGTGAGCTGTGGGGGGGCCATGCTCTCTGGGCCCTGGCAGGGCTGCTCCCTGGCTGCTGTGCCCTGGCCAAGCTGAGCTGCCCCTTAGACAAGCCCAGGAATGTGCACAGACAGACGTGCAGCTTCCCGGCCTCCCTGCCTCTGGGTGGGGCTTCCTGCACCCACACCCAGTTCGGGGAATGACACCAGGATGGGACCATGAAAAATAGGCCACGGAGCAGGAAGGGCTGTGAAGCTGGCCCTGTGGCCTAGCTCAGCCTTAGGGTCCAGGGAGGAGTCAGCTCAGAGCCACCACGGGCAGGACCCAGGGAGAGCTGGCTTCTTCTGGGCCCCATCTCCCGAGATACAACATGCGTGGTCGGTCCCCTCTCCAGCCACCACCAGTCCTGGCAAGAGAGGACTGCCACACCTCAAGGGACTCCACCAGGGTCCTGTGATGTGTCCTGGGCCTGGACAGTGGGAGCTGAGGTCTGAGATGTGGCCACACAGAAGGACCCCATTCCTCTGAGGGAGCATGGTTTCTGAAGCTAGTACTTGCCCCCAGAGAGCCCTGGGACCTCAGAGGGCAGGAGAGGGGGCTTCCCAGCCTGAGGGGAACACATTGGGAGGGTGGGCTATGGAAGCCCACACCAGCATGGGGACAGAGGGGTACAGGGTGGAGCCCTGTCCCAAGCCCCTGGCACAGCCCCATGTGTCCCTCCTGCACCCTCTCCTGGAATAAGAACTTGGGGGTCATTGACTTCATATCCTGGGGCCCACACCAGTTGTCTGGGAAGCTGGGTGTCTTTCCTCCCTCAGCTAACTCTTAGCCCCGCAGGAGCTGGGCAGGGGTAGGGGGCAGTTTTCAGCTCAGCTGTGCTTGGTGGCCAGTCCTTGCCTGCTGCCTTGGGGGAGCACGGGGTGTTGCCATGGGAGGAGGCAGTGGTGAATGCTGGCAGACACCTTGGAAGAAACTGACCTGGAACAGGCGGGAGGCTGGCTCACTGTTCACCCAAGCCCCTTACTCAGAGTAAAGACGGGGTAGGGCTGGGACTCCCATCCACACCAGGAACACAGTATCCAAGCCCACACCACACACAACTCAGATACGTGTGCTCGGCCCGACTGGAATGTGTCTGGACATGCTGCCCAGTCCTGGGCCAGGCTTGCGTCCTGGCCACAGTGCCCCCTCTGAGGCCGTGGACTCCGGAGGCCCCACCCGCCGCCCGCCGGTGCTCGCTCACCCACTGACTCAGAGTTGGTCCCAGTTTCGCTCTCAGCTCAGACTTTCGGCTGGATGAGCTTCTAGGGCGGGGTTGTTCCTACTTCCTCACCTGGTTCTGGATCTGACGCGCCCCCCACTCCGCCACCGCCCCTGCCCCTGGGTTAACCTAGGAGACCCTGAGCTGAGCAGGTGCGGAGCGGCACAGGCGGCCGCAGGGCCGCCCACGGCAGACCACCGCCACCGCACCCTTGGGAGGCAGGCACCCGAGCTGGGACACGCCCACTGCGGCTCACCGTCCCGGGGATGTAGTAGAAGATCTTGTCGGCAGTGGTGTCCCCGTCAGGACTGGCCTCGCTGCCAAAAAGGCCAGCTAGTTTCCTGGTGCCGTCCTCTCTGGGTACAAAGGAAGGGGGCTCACAGCCTGGCCCCTGATCGGCAGAGGGCAACCCTGTGACCCAGCACCGAGGCCGCACCTGCCCCTCACCTATTTCCCTTCAGCGAGGGCTTTCTCGAGAAGGAGGCCCGGAGCCTCCTGGAAGCCTGGGGGACGCAGTGGTTGTTCCCCATGGGTGGTGGTGGCGGCCGGCCCCAGCAAGCAGGTCCACAGGTCTGGGCTCCTTGGTCCTGAACCTCCTGCCCCCACCTCCTGGGGGGCGGGGCTGTGCGACGGTTTGCCCTGTACCCAAGCGCTGGGCGAGGGCGGAGCCTCTCGGGGAGGGACTAGCCCCTACCTGTGCAGCCTTTCAGGCCTCTGTCCTGGGTCCTCCACACAAGCAGGCCAGCCTGTGGGGTATGCGGCAGGTCCCCCAGCCCAGCCAAGAGCCCCCATCTCAGCCTCCAGTCTGTACAGGAGGGGCCTCAAAGGCCTGGCCCGAGTGTGTGGCCTGCCTGAAGTTAGGCTGGGGTGTCGCTAGAGCTCCGTGAGTCCAGGGACCCCCTATGAGGCACCTCATGTGAGCAAACATCCTGTTTCCACCTCAATGCCAATCTGAGTCACCAGTGACTATAAGGGGGTGTGTGCTCCCTCTGGAAGCAGGAGTTTGCAGCATGGGGGCAGGGGAAGCCGGGACACTCCCCCAGCCTCCTCTCTTGCCTTGGCTCATTTCTCACTCTGGGCCAAGGTCAGGGTCCCACAGGCTTAACCAGAATCCAGGAAGGAGGCCACAACCCTCCCCGGTGAGTGTGGGACAGTTGTGGTGAGCTTGGGGTGAGACAGGGGCCATGGCACCTCTCAGGGCCAGGCTGACAGGGGCCATGGTCAGGCGCTCACAGCGCTGCCCCACCTGGAGATGATGGTGCTGTGGCAAAGGCCCCAGATGCCAACACAGTACCTCAGCCTAGATGTATGCTCACCCCCAGACCTTCTTGGTTACCCACCAGGACTGCAAAAGGCAGAGATGCACGCTTGGACTCGGGCCCAGAGCCCAAGAAATATGTTTATTGTTCAAGTCGGCTCATATTGCTGTGAGGGATCTGTGGCACGTGTGTGCGCCCAGCTCAGTGCAGGATCCAGAAGACACCTTGTCCACAGGCAGGAAGCCCCCTTCATGCCTCCCTGGGAGTGCGCCCGCCTCGCTAGGCAAGGGCATTGTGCAAAGTGAAGGCTGGGGGGGCCTGCACCTGCTTAGAAGGCCGCCCCCACCCACCCTGGCAGGCTGCTCTGCATCTACCCCTTGGTCCCTCCAGGTCTGCAGAGTCTGAGCTGGCCCTGACCCACACGCCCATGAGTGTCCACCATCACTCGCTGGTGCCCCCAGCAGGGCGGGAAGACACCCGGGATGGCAGCTTGGTCCCAGAGACACAAGAAACTTCCAGAGCAAACTTCTGAAGTGGCAGCTGCAGCACTGCTCATGAATAAATACTGAATAAATAAACAAACTAAATAAATGGCACACACATGAGCCCTGCGGCATGGACACAGACAGCGGACAGACGGCACAGGACGTCCTGGTGGGGGCCAGGGGACCCAACCCTGACACACGGTCGAGGGCAGGGAGGCGCTGGGCCCCCCTGGGGCTTAAGGCATGTGGGAGGCTGCAGGGCCAAGCCTCTGCACAGTCCCGCCGTGGGTCAGAGGCTGGTGGACGACACGGACAGCGTGGGCGAGGATGGTGGGGGGAAGTTGAGCAGCTCCAGCACTGCCACGCCCACGCTGCTACGCCGCGTGAACATGCAGGATGCAGCCACCCACTTGTTGGTCCTCGGGTTGTACTTCTCGATGGAGTTGAGGCTCGAGCTGCCGTCGTTGCCCCCCACAGCATACAGCCATCCATCCATGGCCACCAGGTCATGGGTGCTCCTGGGGGCCGGGCAGGTGGATGTGAGATCACGGGGTGGGGCAGCGGGCCCAGGGAGAAGCCTCTAGGGTGGGGCCATGGGCCATGCGAGAAGCCTCTGGGGCTGGGCCTCCCGGAGCTGGGGTGGTGGGAGGAGAGCACTGGAGCTGAGCCTGGACAAGGGAGGGGGGACGGGATACCATGCAGGGGTGAGACACATGTCAGTCAGTCTCTGAAGGCGCAAAGACGCTGTGGTGGTGACCGGGACACTCCCAGCCTGCGGGCAGTGGCTCAGCGCACCTTCGGATGTTCATGGGTGCCACACTCTCCCAGGCACCGGCCTTGGGGCTGTATCTCTCCACTGAGTTGAGGCAGCTGGTACCATCATTGCCGCCGGCCACGTACAGAGCCCCCTCCAGCACCGCCACGCCGGCTGAGCTGCGCCGGCTCAGCATGGAGGCCACCGGCGCCCACGTGTTCGCCTGTGGTCAGAGTACCCATTTTGGGGAGACCCACCACCAGCCCCCCCCTCCACCTCCACCTCCACCGAGCAGACCCCCCCTCCAGGGTGGGTGTCGGGATGCGGTGGGGAGGGGTAGATGGATCTAAAGGTCTGACACTTTGGGGGTTGTGGGTGGCCAGGGTGATGACCGCAGGTGGCCCTTGGGAAGGGGAGCATCTGTGATTGGGGTGTTTCGCACCTGGGGCTCATACTTCTCCACAGTGGCCAGGTGTGATGAGCTGTCATAACCGCCCACTGCATATAGGTTGCCATCTGCAGGAAGTCAACATGACCGTGGTGTGCCTACTGTGTGTGGAGTCCCCAGGGTGGGGGGAGGGCAGGGGTGGGCACTACAGCAAACAAGCCCTGTCACCCACCAAGCATAGCAACTCGAACATATCGCCTGCGGGTGCTCATGGCAGCGATGGACGTCCATGTTCCTGTCAGGGGGTCATAGCGCTCGGCACTGTGGACAACAGGACCACTGCTGACCTCGAGCAATAGCAGACTGGGACCTGCCCTCCCTCAGAGGATCACTAAAATTCTGTGCTGGGAAGTTACTGAGACTGACCCCAGAGTTCCACTGGAGCAGGAAGCAGGGCTGCTGGTGTGCAGGAGCCCCTGGCTGCCTGGGTGATCCTGTGCAAGTGTCCACCTGGGCCCAGCCCGACTGGTGGGAAGGACCCCAGAGAGGAACAGAAGGGGCAGGTGGGCTGGCAGAAATGAAGAGGCCTAGGGGACTTGAGTCAGGCAGGATCACTTTGCTTCCCTTAAGGCATGACCTCTGCAGTCCTGATGCAGCCACACCTGTTGCTGAGCCAACCGCGAAAGGCCACCCTGCCCCGACCCCCACTACTACCTGTTGAGGCAGGAGGCTCCATCGTAGCCACCGGCTGCATACAGGAGCCCATGCAGGGCAGCCACACCCAGGCAGCTGCGCCTCGTGCCCATTGACACCTCGGGCTGCCAGGTATTGGTCACAGGGTCGTAAGACTCTACGGTGGCCAGATCTGAAGTTCCATCGTAACTAGGAGAGGGATCCACTGCCAGTCAGGGCTGGCCTGGTGGGCACACATTGAGCCCCTGACCAAAGAGCAGCCTCCACACTTACCCGCCCACTGCGTACAACCGGTTCCCAACTGCTGCCACACCCACCCGGGCTCGGCGTGTGGACATGGAGGCCACCACGTGCCAGCGGTCAGTGCGTGTGTCGTAGGCTTCACAGTCCCCATGGATGGCAAAAAGGCTCCCACCACCTAGGGAGGGGGAGGTGATGGGGTTGGATGAGGGGCCCAGGGAGGTAATGGGTTGGGGGGCTCTGGCACATCTCAAGGTGAAGGGTATGGGAGCTTCAAGGGTGAGGATTTGCGAGTGGGTCACATCACACAGGGTCCTCCACAGACAGACATAGGAGCATGCATGGGGTGGGTGCAGGATATGACAATCACAGGGTGGGGCAGGCTGGTGCTGGGCTCATTGATGGAAGACACAGAACAGAGATGTGAAGGGAGAGGGAAGGGCTGTGGGGGGGACCGGACAGGTGGGCATACCCACAGCGAAGAGCACAGGGCCCGCACCCTCACAGCGTCGGGGCCGAGTGCGGCTTGTGCCTAGGACACCTCTCTGCTCCGGCAGCAGGTGGAACTTGAGGGCCTCGATGAGCAGGTCCTTGCAGTCAGGGTGGTGCCTCACCAGGCTCTCAGCATCCACATGGCCCAGCAGGAAGTCCCGGCTCAGCAAGGGCAGACGCACACACTTCATCAGCTGTGGTGCAGGGGTGCCATGGTCAGGCAGCAGGCAGAACCCATGGACATACTTCATCCCAGCAGTGAGACCCCTCAGACACCGGTCCAGCTGTCACTTCTCGAGACATGTGCCTGCACTACCCCTGCACCACTTCCCGTCCAGGTATTCCTGGACAGGAGGAGCCCAGGCACACCCAGGTCCTAAGACACTGCATCCCCTCCTAGATACAGTGGGCCCCTGAGGGGCTGGCCTCACCCGTGGGACGTGCTGCCTCCGAGCATCCACATCGTGCTTCACCCAGCTCAGGACGGCACGATAGACATCCTCCTCTGAAGGCACGTTCAGGCTGTCACTAGAGACCAGTTCCAGCACCTGGGGGTAGGGACCCTCAGACCTGAGATCTGGGGAGGGTCTTGGGGGCCCATGGAGCCCTGAAGGTGCCTGGGAGGGAGAGTCCAACGGGGGGCCCAGTGTTCCTATGAGAAGGGGCCAAGTGGGGTCAGGAACCACAGATCCGGTTCCTGGGGACCCAGGCCCAGAGCAATCTGGGGACATGGGGTTGGAGACAGAGATGTGGTCAGGAACCAAAGAAGAAGGCTTAGGTGGAGTCAGAAGATGGGGGCATGGAGGGGGCAGGGGATGGGTGGTGGAACATGGATCAGAGGGTAGGAATAAGAGCTAGGGAGCGGAGCCCCAGATCTTAAGGGCCCAAGTGATGGGGGTCAACAGGTCCAAGGGCTGGGTTCTTTCTGGGTGTCAGGGGATTGGGTCACAGTCCAGGCTGTGACCCAGCTGGCATGTTACCTGCTTCAGTGGCAACAGCATGAACTCCTCGGTCTTGGCCACATCCACGAAGTGCTGCAGCACATACCTGTGCGCTGCCTTGAGCAAGTCGCTACACGAGTGCGTGTCAGCAAAGCCCCGGATGCCCAGACAGTTGGAGGGGTCAAGCTGACTCAGCAGAAACTTGCAGCAGGCGTCTCGGACACCGTTCAGTTGCAGAAGGCTGGCAGCTGGGAGCAGAGTCTGCCGGTGAGGTGGGAGAGGGCCAGGGGAGCAGGAACAGAGAAATGGGTGAAAGGAGAGCTGAGGCAGGAGACCAGGTGGGAGACGGGAGGGGATGGCTGAAGCAGCCTCACCTGCACGTTGCCTTCGCCCACCACGATCTCAGCAGTGTAGGCAAACTGCACCAACTGGTCCAAGGCCTGAGGGTCAATGTCGTGCAATGTCACATGGGTCTGCCGGCTCTCGCTCATCTCATCTGTGGGGTCAGTGGGTCAGGCCAGTCCCACCTGGGGAGACCTGCAGAGCCCCCCAGCGCCCACTGGGTGGGGAGGTACTTGCTTGTGAACATGGCGTGGAAGTAGGGGCTGCAGGAGGCCAGTACCACCTTGTGTGCTCGGATCTCCTTGGCGGCCACATGCAAAACGATGTCACACAGGAGGCCACGCTGCCGCATGCGGCTCATGGCCACAAAGGCATCGTGGTAGTGCCGCTTGGAGTTGTGAGACACTGTATGGCCCTCGCGGCTCAGCAGCTGCATGGCACCCTCCATGGGGGCTGTGGGCCGGGCCTGCCGGTTCCGCGCACGCTCGGCCTCAGGGCTGCAGATGGGCAGTGCCAGGTCAGGGTGCCAGGGCACCCAGGAGGCCACTCCTCCCCCCACGGCCCATACCTGGCACCCATCAAGGACCTCCCCTGAGGCCTAGGCTCACCCCACTCTGCTCCCTCACTTCCAGAAGCCTCCCACCGTCTCCCACGAGGTCGGACCTGTACAGCCTCCTCTGCCCGCCCCTCGCCAGGCACCACACTCCATGCTGCCCAGCGCCCCACCAGAACCAGGCTTCCCTCTGTCCATCGCTGGCCACCCTTCCCGGGCCTCCATCGGAGTCCGGTGTCCACAGCCCCGGCGGGCACACAGGAGGTGCACGAAGTGAAAGTGGTCAGTGGCATCAGG